ACCAATTCCATTATACTTCTCTACCTTTCCTAATAAGCAGGCGGGGAGCCAGACTTATCCCTGCCCCGAGGAGGTACAGGAGAGAGATGGAAACACATTCTGCCTGGTGTGAGAGCTTCTCAAAGATCTATGTTTAATTTTTCCATTTATGGGGTCCTAGAATTCACGGTAGGTGGTATGTGAAATGGGAAGGAGGAAGGCTGGGGAAGGCTTTCCTTCAGAACACTTAGAACATTTAAATTGCTTATTCATCTGTCTTCCCTACAGATTCTAAGCTCCACAAACGTAGGGACTTGTTTGTCTTCCTAGTGTCTTACTAGATAGATTGTTGGATGGATGGATGGTTGGATGGATGGATGATGGATGGATGGATGGATGGATGGATGGATAGATGGATAAATAGATAGACACATAGATGAATGGACCTTTAGCTAATTAGACCCTTACTGTGCTCAATTTACATTTCCCCTAGGAATCTTAATTAATCCTACCTCTAAAGGAATGAAGTTCACCCTCCCTCTGCAGGTCATCCACCTTCTATACTACAGCAGCAAATCAAAACCATGGCTGAGGAGCCTGGAGGGTGTGGTGTTCCTGCCTAAATGCCTTTCTCACCATCAGGGAGCACCTGGGGAGCAGAGAGGCCAAGGCAGTGTATTATTCTTGGTGACTCACAGTGCTAAAACGGGAGAGTAAGAATGCATCTTTGATCACATTTCTTTCTTCCCAATTTGACTTAGAGCCCAGAAAGCTGATCTGTGGCATAAATGATGTGTGAGGTCAGACTTTAGTTTGTGAGGAAAAGGCAGGGCAGACAGCTGGGTTATATACCAATAATCCACCAACAGTCCTGACATCGTCTCTGTCAGTTCTTCCCCCCACCCCGCCCCCCCAGGAGGGAAAAAGATGTTTTCTGGTGGCGGGGCAGAATGGAGGAAGAGCTGGGGAGGCAGTCCCTTGCACTACTGGCCTAGTAAGTGTAACGCTGCGTTCTTAGGTCTCAAAGGACAGTTGTCATGGCAACCTTGGGATCAAGGGGCAGATCCTCTTCTGGCCCTTGTCTGGAGCACAGAGTCCCTGTTCAGCTTTCCACAGGCTGGTTTAAAAAAACACATCCAGCCAGATAGATACAGACACTAATAGACAGGCACTCGCATTCACAGAAAAGTTTTAATCATATAACAAGAGTCAAACTCCTTCCTACAGCTTTTCATGATTCAGTTCACCAGAACCTCATTTTGCTCTTCACCTGCAGACTGTGGCAACAAGAAATATTCTGGTGCCAGCAGAGAGCCTTCCAGCCACCAAGAAGCTGTCACAAAGCCTTTCAAAGCACGTTTGTGCATTCTTGCAACCCAGCTCCTGTGCACTGCCACAGCCAGGGTTTGTTGGGGAAAGTAATGCCTGACCCCAAAGGATGTTAGGAGGCCAGGGCATGATGGAGAACATTTCGTGGCCTCCTAGACTGTAGCTGTCAGATCTGAGGCCGACTCGAACCAACCTGCCTCTCCACAGGAATCTGGGCCCAGGGCACCCAGACAGGAGAGAGGCCTCCTGAGGCAAAGTGCCCTGTCTTGTCAATGCAAAACTCTATGAGGAAACTGAAGGCTTTATGAATTTACTTAAAAGGGCAAAATAATAAAGAATACCAGCTGGCAGCCTTACTGGCGCTGAGGCCAGAGCTTCTGGCTTCAGGCCAGAGATGTGCAGAAGCGCAGAGGAGGTCCCTTTGCTGAGGCACAGCTTCTAACAGTTTCTTCTCTGGGCACTTCAGGACACAAACCACAGGGTGAGCTGGAAAAGGTAGGGTTCAGAGGTCACCTGGCCCACACCCCCATAGCCAGGTGAGAAAGTTAAGTACAGAGAGGTTAAGTGACTTGTCCAAAAACACACAGCCAGTCCATGCCAGAATCTGGCCTGAAACAAATACAGGATTCCTAGAGGCTGAGTAGATGATGAGGAGCATGGTAAACTGTTCAAGGCAAAGGAAACAGCTAGAGTGAGCAGGAGATCAAATTAGAAGCTGATAACTGGGCACCAAGACTTATAGAAATCTAATGAGATTATTTTCAGAGTAACAATATAATACTAAGCATAATTTACTGTGAATCTACACTATGCCAGCCACTTGACTGGATGCTTCCCATACATTATTTCTCTGTGACAAGATTGGTTATTCCTATTTAACAGACAGATAAACTAAGGCCAGAGGAATATAAATCACTTGCCCAAGACCATATGGATGCTGAGAAGAAAACGTTGATTCTTCCAAGTCTTTCTGCCCTCAAAACTGTGTCTTGACTCGTTATGCTACTGACTTCAATCAAAAGGAGGGGCAAGGAGCTGAATGTCCTCATTTATTTTAGGTTCCCATATGTTCAGACCCTAAACTAAGACATGTTCCAGAGAAAGTCAGGATACAAAGTTAAGACCAAAAGTATAGAACTCTCAGAGACAAATAGATTCAGGAATTGAAAGGAGGTTGGTTGGGGTTACATGTGGGTAGTAGATATGCTTTTTGGATTGGGCTTGCACTATTTGTGTGTATTTGCTATGAGGTAAACACCAAGACTTGATTTTTCTTTTCCTGACATTTAATGCAGAGCCAGAATTCTCCTAGTAGGCCAGGCCAATGGAAGGGGCCTATTTTTTCTAAACCTTAGAATCCAAAGAGTTTATTAAAGTTGGTCAGACCTTGATACTGCACACCAGGGCTCATCTGAACACTTGACAGGGTTGGATTCCAGAAGGTCTAATTAGGGAACATAGAGGAAGCTCCAAAATCCTAGCCATGGATGGTGCCATATTTGTTCACTCCCAGAAATCCCTACCTATGCCCTCACAACAAACCCTCGGCTTGGTAACTAGCTGGAGGAGAAAGAATACAGGCATTTCAGAGCAATAAAGAAGTTATTTTCCCCTTGTGCTGACTCTGCGTCAAGGACTAAAGCTCTAGCATTGGGTTGGGAAGATCGGCTCCCAACCTCAAACTTCATAATTCTTACTCTGTGCTATAAAGCAGTACAGTAAACCTGCTAAACCTGTACAGTGTAAGGGGTGGGGGTGGGTATGAAGTCCACCTAATAGTGCCCCCCCTTTCCCTAGTTTCCATTCTGCTATGCTCAATTCAAGAACTGTACATAAGTTACCCACTATGTGTCAGCCACCGTGCTAGGCACTAGGGATAGAGAGACGACAGAGACAAGGTTCTTGCTGTCCAGACACTTCCATTCTAAAAAGAGGGACGCAGACAGGTAAACATAACTGCACCGAGGGAATGAGGCATGTAATATTAGAAGTATGCAGAAGGAATGGAAATAGCACAGAGGGCTGAGGAATTAACGATCTGAGAGGGTCAAGAAAGACTTTGAGAGAGGCTGATCTACACATCAAGTTTTGAAGGATGAATAGGAGTTCAGAGGTGAAAGTGGAAGAGACGGCAAAGGGAAGGGCAGGCAAAGGCACCGAAGCACAAAACAGAGGGACCTCGGGCCTTTTAAGGAATCTGGCTACTCGCCTGTCATATCGCCAGCTTGGCTCAGAAGTGCAGAAATAATCACGAGCTCTGATAGCTACTAAACAGTTCTTCCCTCCAGCTCCCCGCATGTACCCCGATGGGTCTGTGGCCCCCTTGGCTCAGGTGTTCTGCTCCTAGATCCGGCCTCTGGGCTCCTGGCCCTAATGACATGTTATGGTTATACTTGCCTGACCTTGATCTAGACTCTTTGGGGTGATCCACTCTGTGATCTGCAACTAAGAAGGAGACATATCCCTCCTTCCACCATGGTCTGTGGTACACTAAAGGCCAGGCCCGCCCAGCCTCCCCAACAGAGACCAGGCACATAGAAGGATCTGCACTTCGTCTACTAGAGCTAGAATAAAAAATATAAGTGGGAGAGAGACGCGGCAGAAGGTGGTTCTCCAGGGAGGTAGCAGACCAATCTGATTCCTGCTAAAGTCTGGACTTCATCTTACTGATGTGGGGAGCCACCGAAAGGCATGAGATAGGGAGCTGGCAGATTCCGGTTTGCCTTCTTCGGGGTGACTCCACTGGTTATTCAGGGTGGTTGTATTAGAGGAAGAAAGACTGGCAGCAAGAGAAAAACTCAATATGGAGAGACTGTTGCCATAGTCTGAGGAAGACTGCCACTCACTACTGGTACAGTCAAATCAGCATCTCCCTGGGGGCAGAGGCAGGGCAGAGCTGGCATGTCAACCTTGTGGTTCCTCAGCTGTCCATCGTGGCTCTGATTCTCACATTTGGGGGCTGCCTCCTCCTCTCTTTCCTTTTTCTTCTCCCTCCCTCTCTCTCCCTTCTCTGCCTCCTTCCTTCTCTTCTTGCTTATTCCTCTTCCTCCCTCCCACTCTTCCCCTCTCCCTCTGGCACACCCTGGAGAGATGTGCCTTGCCTCCTGCCTCCAGCTCAAGCCTCCCTGATGGGAGAAAACGGAAAAACAACTAAGTTTGGGTTTTTCCAGAGTCTGGAGACTCCGGGGGTGCTCCACAAATATAAAAAACAATTTTTGTCACAGATTCCATCACCTCAGAGCCTGCAGGAGGAAATCACAGCTCTCTACAACAATACTGCCAACAGACAATGGGAAATAAGAGACCCACCAACCAGTACTCTTGGGTCCATGTTCTGGCTTCCCTAAGGCCATCCATCACCTTCAGTTTGCCCAAAACTATCTCCAGTGACTCTCCCCAGGTCACAGCAACCTGTTTACAAACATCTAGAATTCCCAGGCACTTTTAGGACAAGGGACTCGGGATGTGTCCAAGTGGGCAGCAAATCTTCTCTAAGAGAAGCTGTTCCTCCAGATCTATTTATGCCGACGTAAACACTTGCCAAAGAAACAAGGCGTGTGGGCATGCGCCGGCCCCACAGTCCCTCGGGTTGCTGCAAAAGGCAACTGGAAAGTCACATGTCATAACAGTGGAAAGTACATATGCAACTATTCTTAGCCCTGGAATGTATACACTGTCTCCCTGCCCAGTGCTTCTTTCCTGAAGTTCTAGAAAACTGTGAAAGTGCCGTTAGCATAAACAAATCCAGAACTCTCCCAGGACAAAACATCTGCCAACTGAAGGAAAGGCCTGGGTTTATGGTCTCACTCGGATCCAGAGGTGAAAGCTCTCCGGAGGGGCCAGCCGGACCAGTCATCGTCAGCGGATGTCACTGCAGCAAATGAAGGTAAATATCTCTAATGTTTAATTCTTCTGCGGGTAGACTGCCAGATGTCATCCAGTAAACTCTGCCCAGGGTACTGTTTGGTCTCTGCTTTCTGTTTATCACATCTTTAAAACAAAACCCCAAAGACTCTGTGAAATCATGTTTGAAAAAATTAGTTGCAAAGGCCCATTTTCATCCTTTAGTACTGTCTGGTTACCCGAGGGCCACGCCCCCAGAATGACATCCTTGGGGAATGACTAACACTCAGAAAGATGCTTAGATGGGTTTAGTAAATAACACATATGCTGAGAAGCTCACAGAAGGTCAACTGATCAAATGCATGGACTTATCACCTTGCTTTCGGCTAATGTTTAAGCCCCTGACAGTCAAGTAACTTCCATCAACATTTGTGGTTCTTTTTCAATTTTCCCAGGTTATCTGAAGATGCTATTTGCCTATTACCTTTGAGAATAATCACGACTAAAAAGAGAGGTGTTGGCTGTGAGGCCTCTGGTGTAGGTGGCCTCTCTTTCCACTCTTCACTAAGCAACTTTCTTGGCAATATCCACAAGCATCTTGGTGAATAGACATAGATGCTATAAGCCTTGGAGCCAACACAGCTAAAGCGTTCAGCACATGCTTCCCCTTGAGACCTCTCCCCTTCCTTGTAGGATGGACGAGGAGTTGACAGATGAGCTGCTCTTCAAAGACCATGACTTCTCCTCTGACTTATTGAGGCAGCTCAATGGCTTAAGGCAAAACAGGATGCTGACTGATGTGAGCATCTGTACTGGGACCTGGGAGGTCCCCTGCCACCGAAGTGTGCTGGCCTCCAGCAGCCCTTACTTTAGGGCCATGTTCTGCAGCAACTTCCGGGAGAGAAGCGAGGCCAAAATCCAGCTGAGGGGCATCGACCCCCCGACTCTGGACCAAATCATCTCATATGTGTATACTGGGGAGGTTCACATCACAGCCGAGAACGTCCTGCCCTTGATGGAGGCAGCTTCCATGCTACAGTATCCCAAACTTCTGGAGGCCTGCTCCTCTTACCTCCAGAGCCAGCTGACCCCCAGCAACTGCCTGGGCATGATCAGACTGTCTGAAATCTTAAGTTGTGAGAGCCTCAAGAAGAAAGCGAAGAAGGTGGCCCTGACGTGTTTTCCAGAGGTGGCTGCATCGGCCGACCTGAAGGAGCTCTGCGCCTTGGAATTAAGAGACTATCTGGGGGACGACGGGCTCTGTGCGGAGGAGGAAAAGGTGTTTGAGGCCCTCATGGTTTGGATCAAGCATGACCTCCAGGCCCGGAAACGACACATGCAGGAGCTGTTCAAGCAGGTCAGGCTTCAGTACATCCACCCGGCCTTCTTCCACCATTTCATCGCCAACGATGCCCTCCTTCAGTCCTCGCCCTCATGCCAGACCATCCTGGAGACAGCCAAGAGGCAGATGTTTGCTTTGCACAGTGCCACCAGTGCCCCAGACCTCCAGCCTTCATGGCATGTCCCCCCAAGAACCTCTTACCAAGATTTCCTCATCCTCTTGGGTGGAAGGAAGGACAGCCAGCAGACCACCAGGGATGTTCTGCTCTACAACAGACAGACTGGCCAGTGGCACAGCCTCGCCAAACTCCCAACCCGGCTGTACAAGGCCTCAGCCGTCACCTTGCACCGTGGCATCTATGTGCTGGGAGGCATGGCCATCGGCGCGGGGAAGAACACACCCAGCCACAATGTCTATATCTACTCCCTGAAGCTCAATCAGTGGAGGCTGGGACAGCCCATGCTGGTCTCCCGCTACTCACATAGAAGCACTGCCCATAAGAACTTCATCTTCTCCATTGGAGGGATTGGAGATGGGCAGGAGGTCATGGGCTCCATGGAGAGATACAACAGCATCTTGAACATCTGGGAGAGTATGGCCAGCATGCCCGTGGGGGTTCTCCACCCTGCAGTCGCTGTGAAAGACCAAAGGCTCTATCTTTTTGGGGGAGAGGACATCATGCAGAATCCTGTACGCCTTATCCAGGTAAATGGCTGGTCCTTCCCATCATGTAAATGCATGAGTATACACCCACACATACACACAAGTGTGTGCGCGCACACACACACACACACACTCATACACACGTGCATATACACACATATATACACATGAGTATATACATGTATGCATATATACATATGTATACATGTATGCATGAGTACACACATGCATACATATAATACACACATACACACTATCATTTGCAGGGGAAGTGTAAAGAAGAGAGGAAAGAAGAAAGTTCAAATTCAGCAAGATTTAATCCATTTACAAATTCTTGTTGTATAAGATTAACACATACAAAGGAACATCAAATACAATCCCTGTACACAAATAACTTATCTTTATTTCAGGAAAAAATTTGTATGTCTAAAAGTGCAAGCTAGAGCACACTGAATGTCAGAAATTCTACAGGAATTTTGCAGATGCTTCTAACAATTCAGCAAGACCCTGTAAGAAGATTCCCAAGCATCGGTCCACAGTCTATCACCAAATCCCTGGGAACCCAACTTCAGATCAGCTGAATCAAAATCTCTTTGTGTGGGGTCCTGACATTTACACATTAGAGACATCTCCAGGAGGCCCTCAGCTGCAGCCAGGTTGGGGAATCCTTGCCTTAAATGATAAGTAGATGCTAATATCACTAGCAAGCTCTCTTAGCAGTGTTAACAGACGCCAAAATTTCAGAAAATGAAGTGTTTTATGCAAGTTCTAATCTCTGCAGTTCCCCTAGTGATATGAAAACCTTGAATAATGAGCCTATCTTGAAAGATAAGAAGATCCCTACTATTTGTTTTGTTCACTGATAAGAACTATATTGAGTCTCAGCCATGGTAAGAGCCCTGGGGATGCGGGCATGAGCAGGAAAGTGCACTTACCCTCCAGGAGCTTGCTGGACAATTGGAATTCAGGTGCAAAATGGAGGGGGGCTTTAAGAGCATGGGGAGCACCCTACCCCAGTCTAGAGGGAATCGGGGATGGTGTGACTTTTGAGGTTGGTCTGGGCTGACTTGAACAGAGAGGCAAGAGGAGAGAGAAGGGGAGTAAATGAGGAGAAAGAATCATTGGGTGGATAGAAGGATCTGACGTGGATGGAGAAGGGTGCTGGAAGCTTCTCCGAGCAGAGGCAGAGTCCTGTTGAGGGCAGGGTGGTGTTCCTGGGTAAGGGAGCAGCTGCTCAAAGGCCCTGAGGCAGAAAGGGGCACGGCCCTTGACCTGGAGACACTGAAAGCCTGAGAATGTAGCTGCAACACGGCGCAGGAGGAGGAAGGTGGTATGCTGGGCGGAGCTGGGGGGTTAGTCCCCATGTGATCTCCACCCAGACTGCTGCCCCTGAGCCTCTACTATAGAAATTCTGGAACATTTTTAGGGGATGGGTGTTTGCGCGGATGAGGCTGACCTGGTCGGCTTTCTGGGCCTTGTCAAGGAACTGGGGTTGTAGTCTGAGAGTAGCAGGGTGGCTGAAGTAATCAGATTTACATTTTTAGAAGTTCCCTTTGGATGGCTTGGGGAGACAGGGCTGGTCGGGGCACTTGTGGGAATGAGCACTGGGTGTTATATGGAAACCAACTTGACAATAAACTATTTGTAAAAGTAAATAAATAAATAAATAAATTTCAGAAGGATTTCAAAAAAAAAAAAAAAATGGGAAGAGAGTTAGGGACTGTTCTAGAGGTCCAGGCCAGGGTGACCAGTGGCTTGGGCTAAGTTGGTGCCAGTGGAGATGGAGAAAAGTGAAAAGCTCCAATTTAATTCCTGTTTTTTCTTGCCTTCACTTCTCCAGCCCATATTTTCAGCTCTTCCCTGACCATCTAGGCAGATTCTGAGTCTGTTCCAAATCCTGCTGATTTATTTGAGCCAAGAGAGACATGTTTTGCTCTCCACCAAGCTCTGGCCACACAATACAGATGTAATAAAGTGCTTCTATGTAAAGCTAGAGCCCCTCCCTCCTTAAAAAAATATTTTTCAAAATAAAGTCAACAACTATGCTCAGTATTTCATATTGCAAAATTGTTATTGATTTTCTAAGAATAAATTCAAGGCTCAGAAAAGCTTTTAAGCTGGCACATCAAAAAATGCACAGTACCATCAAACAAGACTCTTGCAAAGGCAGAAAAAAACCCCACTAACATATGAGTGATCCTTTTATACTGCTGTGGTTAGAAGGGGGAAAGGGGGAAAGTATTCATGGAAGCCTTTCTTGTCCACCTAGCATTAGCTTTGATATGAAAGTTTGATTCATTCAAATATAGTATAAAAATCAATGCTGGGGATTGCTTGATGGAATAGGCTGGATTTTCTGGCACAGATTCAGAGTTTTCTTTAATGGATGGTTCTTCTTTGGGGATGCCTTCTTTTAGGAACTATACCGCAGTGGGGTTACTGTGCTCTTTGTGTGTGTATGTGCACCTTTCTCCCTGGCCTTCTTTCTACCTCTGTTTGTGGAGAGCATTAAGCAAATCCTTCACCATAACATCACTTCCTCCACTGGTCAAAGACCATCTTTTGTTATCCCTGCCCCAGCCTCTCTAGGAGTATTATGAGGATTATGAGCAACTGTTTAATCTCTCTTTGAAACCATACCCGAAGGCGACAGAGAACAGAAAGTCAGGAGGCAATTACTCATTCAGTGTTTGCTTTTGCTCCAAGGATCCCACTTTCCGAAGTATCGCCTATGTATTTTCAGATGAAGCCACGAGGCTTAGCAGCCATCGAGACTGCCTCTATCCCTAGCACATGGCCTTTTCTATGCGTCACCAACTTCAAGAACAAACAGAGACTCAAGAGGTTTCCAGTCTCAAAAGGCTCCATCAAGAAGGGCAACACTTACATGGTTTCCAGGCAGAGCCATGAGTGTGGTCAACCAGACCAGCTGTTCCACTCACTCTAGCTGTGTGACTTTGGGCATGTCACTTAACCTCTCTGAGCCCCAATGATCTAATCTGAAAAAAAAAATGGAGGCAAGTAATGGTAACTACTTCACAGGATGATTGTGAAGATCAAATTTGGTAAAATGACAAAACATAGGGTCTTTCATATGGTGGCAATTACAGTTTATATAGAAAGAATTGCCAGCAAAGAATTATACTTCATATAGAAAGAATTGCCATTTTCTTCTGTAAGTAAACGTTTTTCCCCTTCTTTTCTTTTATGAAATCCATCCTAAATCTCTTGTGTTAAATTTTGCTAACAGTGAACTAATTTATATTTGATATTTGAACTTTATTTAAACTTAGGGGAACATGTTCTGAAAATCGTGATTTGTGACTCTATTTCAGAGCATGGCCAAGGAGCCCTGCCCCACCTCTATGCTCTTTTTTTCTTTTCTCATGCTTCCTTTCTGATTCTAATGACTTTCAGGCACAAACTGTTCAAAAGCCTTCCTCACTTAGCCTCAGATGTATTCTTGGCTCTAAGGCCCTCTCTGATACACTGGAACATTTAGAAACTTAAACATGATCCGGAAATAGAAATGATTGAAAAATCATTGGCCTTATGAATATCCAAGTTGCTTCATTTCCCATAAAAAAAAACGTTCCAAGCAAGGTAGGAAAACTCACAATACAATGCACAAATCTGGGTCCATTCTATAAAAACATAGCCAAGGCATGGGCTCACATAAAAACCAATTTCTAGTAATATATTCTTTTTGTTATTTAATTATACTTTATTGATAGCAATATATCAGTATTCCTTAGTATATACCTATATATTGATATTGCTTGGTATAATAGGTATTATACCTACCTACATTTTAAAAACTAGGAAAAAGTGAAAAGAAAAAAATCACTCCTATTTCACTCTTAATTACTACTTCTATCTTTTAAAAAATATATCCCTTTACAATGCAGCACCATGGTTATATTTCTCTCTCAGGTTTATCACATTTCCAGAAACACATGGTTCAAAATGGAGACAAGGATGATCAAGAATGTGTGCGCCCCTGCAGTGGTGCTGGGGGAGCGGATTGTCATCGTGGGAGGTGAGTTTGAACAGAGGATCGCTAGGCTGGACCCAAACTTGGCACCTCCCATGGAAAACGGGTCACTAATAGACAGATGTTGTTCTACAAAACAGTGCTGTTAAAAGCACATCCATCCAACTAGGGAAGTGTGGACAACTTGACAAAGTTCTTTTCTCATCCAGAAGTTTTTGCCTGTCTTTATCTATAAACAGGGAATGAAATAATACCTATTTCACAGAATTGTTGTGATAATAAAATGTGTTCGTATATCTGAAGCACTTAGCACTATCCCGGGTACGTGGCAAATACTCAAAAAATGTTTGCTACTGTTATAATATTAGCCATTAATACATCATTTCTCCTCAATTGCAGTATAGTGCCTTGGTTAAGATGACTGGTTTTAGGGTCAGACCTGGGTTCAAATCTTGACTCTGCTACTGGCTGTATACTCTCTGGCAAGTTATTAATCTTTTTTTTCTTCTTTGCCTCCATTTGCACATCTGTAAAATGGGGATCCTAAAAGTGGGGACTGGTGGGGACCAGGTAGGGCTGTCAGGGAAACCATTCCTGAATTCCCAAAGGCTCTTTCTCTGGATTGTTAAGGCTCTTGGGGAGGGAAGGGAGTGTGTAAGAGAAATGAAAATGCCATTGGGGCTGAGGAAGCCACTGGAATCAGGAGGCTGCCCCCAATGTAATAGTGCCTTCACTTGGGGCTAAGGATTCACGGGCCAGAATCAGACAGAGCTGAGTCCAAACCCCAGTTGTGCCACACACTAATCCTTGGGCAGGCTACCAAAACCCACAACACCTTAGTGCAGAGTTCAGCCTTGATACTGGGCAATGGCAGAGATCAAACACGTTTCCAGACTGCAACCCTCCAGTTCCAAATGAGCAACGCTGAGCTTGCCAATATGCCATTTGGTTTTCAGGTTACACGAGGAGGATTCTTGCTTATGACCCTCAATCCAACAAATTTGTCAAGTGTGCGGACATGAAAGACCGGAGGATGCACCATGGGGCCACAGTGATGGGGAACAAGCTCTATGTAACGGGTGGGCGGCGGTTGACCACAGACTGCAACATTGAGGACTTGGCCTCCTTTGACTGCTACGACCCTGAGACGGACACCTGGACATCCCAGGGACAGCTTCCTCACAAACTCTTTGATCACGCCTGCCTCACTCTCCAGTGCATACCCTACACTCCCGCCTTCTCATGAAGTCGGCAAGAAACCACTGGTCTTGGTCAAGATGCTTTCTGTTGCAAGGGACAGAAACGCAACTCCCAGGAGCTTAAACCTAAAAGGAGGCCAGAAGTGCCCATAGGTCTGAAATTTCCAGAACCTGGAGGCCTGGAACCAGGCATATTGTTGGCCAGAACTCTCTGTCTCTCTCTGTCTCTCCACACCTCAACCCTGTCTCCCTCGCTTTCTCTCTCTCCCTTTCTTTCTCCTCACTTTCCCTCCTTCTCTACCTCATCTCTACTAGACTTCATTCTACAAACAAGCTTCTTGATCCACAAAGTATGAAGACAACGGCAACTGATAAACTCAGACTCATGTTTTCTAACTTCGCATCTTCAAGAGAGAACTCTACCATTATCCATATATCAACCCTGAAAGTACTCCTAGTTGGCCATTTTTTAATTCCATGCCTTCCTCTTGAGCCAATCACTGTTTCCAGGGCTTGTGCTACTGTGTAATCCCAGATCATGTCCCTACAGGCTGAGGTCATGTTAACTGTTATCATTGACAGTTCATACACTGCACATGATGAGATAGAGGCAGTTTCCCCAAAGGAAAACCACATCTGCCAAGGCCATCATGGAAATCCAGAACAAAATGGCTGAGAGACCCGAAAGAGTCCCTAGAATCACGTGATCCAGGTGGCAGTGTGAGACATTGGCTATGGCCCTGTTTCTTTGCATTCTATGGATGTAGTACATTGGGATTCCAGGAAAATATGTGCAATTCAGTTTCAAGGGTTTGCAAAATTATCTATGCTGCCAGAATAAAGTTTGTTTTTAGTGCCAAAGGATGTTTTTCTCCAGCCTCTAGGGAGCTATAAACCTGCAGAATTAATCAGGATTTTCATTTTGGTAAATGTTATGAGAATTGCTCTTCCGAGGCAAGCCAACAAATTCCTTCACAGATTCCAGCAATTAATTGCCCTCTTCATGCCAGGGCTGAATATCCCCTCACCCTCTTTATCTCAAAGTTCGTCACAAGCTGGCTCAGTTCCAAGCTCAAGAATAGACTGAAGATCACCTGGGAAGGTGTTTGAAAATAGGACTGGGCCCCATTGAAGAGGGACAGCAGGGATTCTCAGAGGTGGAGTCTGGTCATTGTAATGTGCAGTCAGGATTAAGATCCACCATCCTGGGGCATTTGGGTGGCTTAGTCCAGGAAGTGACCAACTCTTGATTTTGGCTCATGTCATGATGTCACAGTTCATAGGATTGAGCCTCTCATCAGGCTCTCTGCTGACAGTGTGAGCCTGCTTGGGATATTCTCTCTCTCCCTCTCTCTCAGAAACAAACAAGTAAACAAACGAACAAACAAGCTTTTTAAAAAAATTAAAAAACAAAACATGAACCGCTGTCCTGCTCAGCTGCAGGAACTGAAAGCCTCGCATGCTGAGCCCCCCCTCCCAGCATGTTGTGGCCAGCCCTGTCACCACCCAATAACATAGGCAAAGTCTTCTCTCCAGCAATGGAAGCATCTGGAATGGGTCTCACTGCCCTGAACAGGGCACCAGAGTGACCCCAAGCTGGAGCCTTCTTCCTGCCCTGCTTTTCAGGTTCATGTCCTGGACTTTTCCTTTCTTCCTAATTTGTACTTTTTGCCCTTCACTTTCTCCTACCAGGGTCTGAAGCTCTGTCCTGATCCCCAGACTGCTAGGCTGTGGTCCAGACACCCCCTACTCCTCATCATGGGCACCGTCACCTTAGCAGTTGGCTGGCCTCTGACTATAACCTATTCTCTTTGAACCTCTCTATTCAGACTCTCAACCCCACCTCTCCCTACAAAATGTTATCAGCGATGCCTCCAGCACCTAATGGAGGTCCATTTTGATTTCTCATTTGACTTGACCATTCAGCAGCATATGACCCAGATGACCCTCTCTCCATCTAGAAATGTCTTCCTCACTCCGCCTTTGGGACACCACCCACTCCCTCTTCCTACTGCGTGCAATTCATTCTTCTCTCTTTCTTTCCCAACTAATAAGTGGAAGTGCACTCCAGTGCTCAGCCCTTACACCTGTTATGCATCTACCCTTACTCCTGAGGTAAGAGAGCCCCTCGGTGTATGGCTTATCATTCCATCCATGTGCTGCTGATTTCCCAATATTCTCCAGTTCCAGGCTCTATGACTTGCTCCATGTTTCCACTTGGATGTTAAATACCTCAATGTAAACATGTTCAAGATCACTTTTTCCTTGCATAGGCTTCCCCATCCTGGGAGAGGGAAACACCTGTGTCCAAGTTCCTCAGGTCCAAAGCCTTGGATGCTACTCTTGGCTCTTCTCTCTCACACCCGACTCCATCTGTTTCAGGTGTGACAGAGCCTAGTAGCCTCACCAGCCACAGCTCCTACTATGGTCCAAGCTGCCGTCTTCTCTCATCTGAACTCATCACTGATGTCTCTGCTTCTACCTTTGCCCCCAAATCTCCCTCGACCCAGCAGCTTGGGGCATCTTTCACAAACATTTCAGTGAGAATAGATCCTTCCCTTGTTTAAAATTCTGCAAAGCTTATATCGGAATTAAAGTAGAAAGCTTAACAAAAAAAAAAAATTCTTTAATTAAAAAAAAACATAAACCTTTCCAAAGCTGTCCCAGCTTTCTCAGGCAACTTTCAGACACCTGCAAGATTGCTCCCCGACCCCACGCTGCTTCCCCCCTGCTCTCACTCCCCACTGTGTCCCCCAACTCAGCATTGGCCACACTGGTCTCTGGGCTCACACAGCATCTTCACTGTTTCACACTTGCTGTGATCTCCATCCGAACATGAACATGCTTGGCCCAGATACCATACCCACAGGGTCCCCTCCAAACAACAGCCAGGCTAATCTTTTTTTTTTTTTCAGTTATTTTTGATTATTTCTTTTTTTAAAATAGTTTATTGTCGAGTTGGTTTCCATATAACACCCAGTGCTCATCCCAACAAGTGCCCTCCTCCTTGCCCATCACAACCTTCCCCTATCTTTTAAAAACACAAACCTGTTCATATTCCTCTCCTCTTAAATGACTTCACAGCTTCCCAGAGACATTTGCACAGAGCCTTCATCCTTTATCCAGCCTCTAGGGTTTTCTGCTGCCCAGCACCCATCCATGTCTCTGGCCTTGCCTTTTGCTGCTCCCCACGGTGCCCACGGGTGCCTCTGCCTTTATTATTTCCCCTCCTCTATCCTGCCCTTGGATCTTTGCTCTTTTCTAATATACAGCTCTCTCACCTCTTTACCTGAAATAATTTCAATTTATACCTTACCAACCAGATTAAAAGTCACTGCATCAGAGGCCTTGCGTGCACCCCTACCCTAGCCTGGGTCAGCTATCTCTCCTATTAAATGTCCCCTTTGTCCCTATACATCCCCTTTGAGGCCTTCATCCTACTTGTAATTACTTGATCACTGTCCTCCCCTCCAGGCTCATATCTCTTCTGCATTCCCAGGGCTGGGCTTGGCATTGCCTACATGTATTGTAGATCCTCGATAAACATAGCATGAATGGATTAAAAAAAAAAATGAGGCTGCTGAATCCACATTGTCTCTAAAATCCATCTCAAACTCAAAGGTTAGTGTGCACAGGCCCTAGTTGAAGCATCTCAGAGCCTCTACTAAGGGATCACCATGTCCTTCCTTCACCACCTTCCCCATTCCCATCCTGGGGAAGAAGTAACCAGGCCTACCTACATCAAGCATGAAGGATGAGAGCTTCTCCTAGAGGGTCCTATTAGTCTGGAATTGTAAGTGACAGTCTTGCCATCTATAAATTCCTTCTGTGGCCACCAAAATTCCTTCTGTCAGAGACTTGCTAATGCCTCAGCTTTCTCTCCCCTTCATCTTAATCCAAAATTTAATAAGCTGCCAGCGTCTGTGGCTACTTGGAGCTTGTGTGAGTCTCACTGGGGCACAGAAGCACTAAGTAAATTGTCCCCTGGAATTTATAAAGAGAGATGGCACCAGGCCAAGCACACTGGGGCACACACAGTGGGCCAGCTTTGTGCATCAAGTAAGAGGTCTCTGCGGCAGGTACATTCACACACCTGGGCACCCCCCTGGCCAAACCCCATATCTGAGCTGAGTTAGGAAATGTCCTTCTGCCATAAGGGATCCTTTGCAATATGCTGAGGAAATCTCAGTCCAAAAAGAAAGAGGTTTTGGCATGAGGCTTCCTGCATCTCACTGGCCAAGGAGAGAGTCACAGTCCAGAGCTGAGGTCAAAATATATTTAGCCAGCAGCGGTTTAACTAAAACATTGTAAGTAAAAAGTGTCAGATAGCTTGACTAATAATCGCAACAAGCAACAAGGGAGGGGGTGGACATGAAGTGGATAGAACAAGGGCTATGCAAGAAAACACTAACAAAAATATCAAACACCCTGTCCCAACATAAACCAGTGAGCAGGAGAGGAGCCAGCAGAGAAAACAGTGTCGGCAGGAAGAAAGTGACTGAATTTACCTTCGCCACCTAAAACAAAAATCTGTGATGTCCCAGAGGACAAGGTCTGTGACTGGCTTTACTCACTTTATCCTTCTCAGGATGTCTGACAAAACCCTGCCCACCTCCAAAATGCCATGCATGTCCATGCCTCTGCACCTCTGCATACATCATTCCCTCTGCCATGACGCCATTCCCTCCACTGCCTAGTGAACTTTTACTCAGCCTTCACCTCCTCTATGGAGCCTTCTCCAGCCTTTCTACCAACCTCTCCTCTCCCTCCCTTTATTCCAGCTCCTTCCACATCATAGAGACTTATTAAAGGAACTGGAAAGAAAGCTCTTCATGGGGGCAGACAGAGTCTTGGTCCCTATGAACCTCAAGGCCAAGTTCAGGCAGTACTTGACACACAAACGGTGCTGACATGCTTGTACAATGAATGAGCAGGTGCACAGGTGAATGGGCCCTAAACACCACTGGAGTTATACAGGCTGCTCTGAGTGGAAAGAAGGGGTTAATAATCGGGCAAACTGCCATCCCCTAGCTGCATTTCACCCCAGTCTCTGCCTCCAGCATCACATGTCTTCCTTCTGTGTTAAGTCCTCCTCTATCTCTTATTGGATTTAGGGCCCACTCTAAGCTAGTATGATCTCATCTTGATCCCTTCCTTCATTACATCTTGAAAGACCCTATTTCCATATAAGGTCATGTTCCGGGTTCCAGGTGGCCATGCATTTGTGGGGAGACCCTATTCGGCCCATTGCAGATACCTCCTCCCCCAAGAAGGCATCCTTGGTGTGCCCTCATCCCTCCCATGCCCCAGATGGAGCCACATAGCATGGACTCATCCTCTTCTCCCCCATCTCATCAGGAGCACCTCCTGGGCAGGGACTCTTGTCTTTCATCTCTGTATCCCCCACTCCAGTCCCACAGGGCCTGGCACTGCAAAGATACTTGCTGAATGTGCACTAAGCTAAGTTTAACCATTTCACAGGGACTAGCAAACATTGTATGGACTCCAAGGCTAATGTACACAAGACACAGCATCTGAGCAGCTTCCCAAGAGTCCAGGGTGAACAGTATCTGTCAAATGCCAATCAAGAAGGAAGGTTGGGGGGAGGGCAGGGGGCTCAGTCAGCTAAGCATCCGACTCTTGATTTTGGCACATGATTCATGAGATCGAGCCCCACGTCAGGCTCTGTATTCTCCAGCCTTTCAATCCCTTTCTGCCCCTCCCCTGCTCTCCCTCTCAAAATAAGTAAATAAACATTAAAAGAAAAATGAAGGAATTAGGGTCGGTAATAAGAAATTATCTAAGAGAACTAATCTATTAGCACAATGTCACCCATAATGTCCTATTTTTGATCTTGCCAACATAAGCCTTTGGAGTGATGTCATGAGAGTGAATCTGATGCTGAGGATGCTGGAGAGAAGGAAGTCTGACTTCTGAAATGTCAGCTTTCACGCAATCTTATAGGAATTCTAGGCTTCTGTTCAAATGCCACGTTATTCTCTTCATGTGGGGGAATTTGGTTTTTTTGCTTTCCCTAAAGATATCCATGAGTCTCTCCTCCTCCTGAGTTCACTTATTTGATTTAATTAGAATTCTATGGACTGCAATCCAGAATTCACCAGAAATGCTCCCATAACAAGCCAGCCATCCAGGAAAATGGTGCTTTGAGGACACAGATGGGGATCCAAGAGTGCGAGATGTTTCTAAGTTAGAAAGATGCAGACAGGAAATTCTGTCCTATTCAGAATCAGAGGCTGTCTTT